AAATCAACCATCCAATTGATAATTTTGAACTACACACTTGATGTATTTATGTGTGTCACAATCAAAATATTGAGAATTTGACAAAAATGAAAATTTTGGGTTGGGTTTTACTATGAATTTTAATATTTGAGTGACAATTTAAAAAAGGGATGAAAGTTGGTGGTTGATTTGTAAATAGCAAGTTTTGGGTGGTTGGTATGTAATTGCCTCTTTTTTACATGAATTCTTTTATAATTTTAATAATACTAATTAATAAGTTCAAATCACATTCTTTCTTAAAATTGATGTGGCATCAATACAACTTTATTGACTTTAATTATAGAGGATGTCTTCTATGCCAATAAGAAGTGTGGGTTTTGATGTGTTGGAATTACTCTTGGGATGATTAATGTTAGGAAACAATTGAAGATAAACATCGAAAGTCAAACAATGGAGTATTGTTGAATTTTTTTTTATTCTATTGATAAAAGAGGAGTCAAGTCATCAAGAGGATGAATATCCATTGCTAAATTGATAGGCATTATGTGATATATTAGTAGTAAAGTTTAAGATCATTTAGTTGATCAAAGGGATGAGTGTCCAATGGCAATGGCCTGCACACATCTGACATTTGTTATTCATAAGAATCGAACAATGGTTAATAAGGAAAAAATAGAAGTCAAGATACAGAAAGTAGTGGGAATTGAAAGAAGTGCATCAAATATCATTGGATGACAAACATTAGATATCATAATTGTCAGGCATCGAGACAACATTCGATGGGTAGAGGATGGTTGGCTTGTTCATTTCATCAATTAGATATGAAATTGGAACATTTCGAAATGAGCACCAAATATTAGTGCTAGCAATCATTAATCATTGGTAAGTATCAAGTCATGGTCAAAACAAAATTTTAAGAAGTTGAGGGGCTATAAAATGTTGGCTTGGTCCTTCTTCTAATAAGGGAGGAGATTAGATGTTTGGTAGGATGAGCAATAGACATTGGTTGCTGATGGGAATCCAATGCCAATGCCGATCGATGATGGGTGTCAGATGATTTTCTTAAGGAGAGACATTAATGGTAGGTGATTAAATATTATTAATCATTTTCTTGATGAAAAATGAGATTTTGTGACTAAGAAAATGAACTTAAGATGTTGATGGGTAATAAGCTTTGAACTTTCATAGTTGTAGGCAGTTAGTGATGATCATGACATGGGATGATTGATAACTGCACTAATAGTTAGCAAGAGATTAGAGTTGGTGTAGTTGGTGGGTGCGTGCAAATTTATCGGTGTATGTTCCAATTTATATATGAAAGAGAACACATTTGAGAGGTAGAACATTTATTTTGTGAAAGTTTGAGTATGTAAAAGCACCAACGTTTGGGATGTTAGTGAAGGGTACGTGCATGGACAAAAGGTGCTAGAAACAGGTGCATGCAAGGCACAAGCAATAGTAGGTATACATGGGTACAAATGACAACTTAATTCTCCTATAGATTTTGGATTTCTTTATAGTAAAAGAATTGCTTTATAAATTTTTACAAGAATTCTTTTTCCCGTTATATTAAGATTTTTCAAATCTACAACATGGTTGAATGACTCAAATGATTCATCACTTAAAAGTGAATAGATAATTTTACCTTTAAACTAGCTTAATAGCAAACATTTGCCAATGTTTGGTACAAGTGGACAACTAATGATTGATAATGAAGCTTTTGCAGTGACCATTAGTAGTTAAGTTTATGATCATTTAGATCATAAAAATTAAAATAAAATTCTCATATTTTATGGTCCATATGTCGAATAAGATAACCCTTAGGCTTTGTTTGAAATTTCTTATTTGATGCCCACTAATTTTGCTGTCATGGCAATAATAATGACCCAAATAGTTAACACATTCAAAAAATTCATCCAATCAAATATAAAACATTAATGAAATATTTAAATTATGAACATTTAAAATTAAATTTAAATTCATTCAAATTTTCTCTTAGAAGCAAATTTACAATTGAAGTAAATGTTTCCATAAAATAACTACAAAGACATCAAAAGTGTCTAAATGTGACTTTGAAGGATCCTACGTTAAGTATTCATTATATATTTAATGATATTGGAATGTTTCTAAATGATCCAAACAATCTTTGAGCATTGTGTTGTTATTAGCCAAAATGTGTCATGATGAGAGAAATTTCACAAGCCTAAGATTGCTTAATTTAATATCTTTGTGATATTAATGCTTAAGTAATGTTATATAATCAAGGGGATTAATATAGACAAAATGATGGAGTGCTTGGGATTTTTTACTAAAATAATGAAAATGCCACTTCAATAATTTATAAGAGGCCATTTGGCTGCACACATTTATAGTAAAAAACAAATTATATGTAAAGATTATGCATTTTTTACTATTTTGTTTGAATAAAAATAAAATGCAATATAATCTTTTGAGGTATTTAGAATTGACCAATTCTTTTTCAATGAATTTGGAACTCATCCATTGGGCAAATTTCGAACGCATTTAAAATGTGAAACTTATTTTGTCACTGCTCGTCCTTGATTGATGCTCACCACCACCAATGGTTACCAATTCTGCCAACCCCTGTCAGTGGCTATCGAACACCATCTCCTCTACAACCTTCATTTCCAATCATCACTTTCACCCCTTATCACTATCTGCTAATTTTCATACACCAAACATTATTGCAACCCACAATCATTCACCCATCGCCACAAATTCTTTATGTGGGAGATAGCTAACATATTTGAAAAACCTTAAAGGTTGGTAAAATGATCAATGTTGATGATCAATATTAATGACCATTTTCATTTCCTGAATAGCATCACCTGCTACTTAAGCAATAATAAGTTTCATTCATGCCAACAATTTAATTGCCTATTAGTGTTGACACTTATCAAAAATAATAAAGTTGTTACATGTTATCGACTCTAACATTGATATATATTATCACTATTATTATTGATGCTTGCAATTGCTCGCATGATTGACACCATTGTCAATGCATTATATTACCAATTAAATTAATATATGTTGTTGATATTAACAACACTGCACAATATCATTTTTAATGAGATTGATTTATGTCATCATGGTTGATGCACATTGTCAACATAAATACCAACATATATCATTACTAACAAAGTTTACATATCATATTCACCCCTTATAACTCCTAACATGTATCGCATTTAACCAAAAACTCATCGACCCACACTCTTGCGCAAGGTATCATATCTCTGCCCACCTAAATCATAGTAGTCAGTCTTTCTTGCATACACACGTTTCTAAAT